CACACACACACTCACACACACACACACACACACACACACACACACACACTCTCACACGCACACTCACTCACACACACACACATGCACTCACTCCCACTCACACACACACTCTCACACTCACACTCACACGCACACTCACTCACACACACATGCACTCACTCACGCACACTCACACACGCACGCTCACTCACTCTCACACACACGCACACACACGCACACACACGCACACTCACGCACACTCACTCTCACACGCACACTCACTCACACACACACGCACTCACTCCCACACACTCACACACACACTCTCACACTCACACACACACTCTCACACACACACTCACGCACACTCACACACACACTCTCACACTCACACGCACACTCACTCACATGCACTCACTCCCACACACTCACACACACACTCACACTCACATACACACACACACACACACAACACCTGATCATTCACCTGGAAATCCTCCCGCACTTGATGAGGATCAAAGCCAGTCGCTGTTTTCAACATTGATAATAATCAGAAATGTTTCTTGAGCAGCAGATCAGCATATTATACTGATTTCTGAAGATCATGTGACACTGAAGACTGGAGGAATGATGCTGAAAATACAGCTGCACATCACAGAAATACATTACAGATATTCACATAGAAAACAGCTGTTTTAAACTGTAATATTATTTCACAATTTTTACTGTTTTTTTTTTTTAATAAATGCAGCCTTGCTGAGCAGAAGAGCCTCTTTCAGAAACATTAAAAATCTAAATTATTACAACTTTGACCGGTGGTGCATACACAGTGTTTTAAACAATACAGATGATTTCAAAGCAGCTTCACAGTAATAAACAGGAAAATAACAGTGTTAATGTTAAAATTAATCAATTATCAAACAAATAAATGTGAAGCAGCTCTACAGAAGACAGCAGAGTCATTATTCAGTTCAGTGTCGACGTTTCAGAGTGAAATGATTCCTCACATCATGTGTGTTGTTGCTTTATTAAGTGATCAGACGCTGAACCTTAAACACTCAGAAAATCTCACATCTCATCATTTTTGTTTCTATCATTGTGCCGTGTAAAGCCTCTAATTTGATTTGTAATAATTAGTTGTGTTGTGTACCGGATGCATTGTTAGTTATGAGTGTCTTAATGAAGTATTGACAGCAAGCATCTGTGTTTTAATACTGGTTTGTGAGGAGAGCTCGAGAGCCTGTGTTTCTGCATGGACAGGCCTATCACAAACATCGCTACGCACATCTGTTGCTATGGATCACTGGAGCATTATGGGATAGACGGGTGTTTATTAATCTGTCAGCGTCGTGTGAAGTGTTTGTTGCTGTGCTGCAGTTATTCATACGGTGATGTGAATTATGGGTACTGAGAGATGCTCTGTGTGATTGAATGAAAACAAATGTTTTCTTTCTAAATGAAATTTCCGTGTCATGCTGTGTTTCATTCAGTGCTCTGCCGTTTTGCCTCCTGGTGGCGCTGTCGAGCCGTGTGTCCTGGACACATTCGTGAGAGTGTGTGAGTGAGTGAGAGTGTGTGTGTGAGTGAGTGAGTGAGTGTGTGTGTGTGAGAGTGTGTGTGTGAGTGAGTGAGTGAGTGTGTGTGTGTGAGAGTGTGTGTGTGTGTGTGTGTGTGTGTGTGTGTGTGTGTGTGAGTGTGTTTGCTTGTGTGCGTGCGTGCTCAGTCTCATCGGCTCTGTGTTTCAGCCTGGTGCCGCTGTTCGTGCAGATCCAGCAGAAGTGGAGGAAGATGTATGCGGGTGAGTGTCAGGGGCCCGGGGTCCGGACCGACTTCGAGATGGTGCACCTGCGTAAAGCTCCTGGTCAGTACACACACCTCTCCGGCCTGCTGGACATCTTCAAGAACAAGATGGTGAGTTCAGATCAGATCAGCTCGCGTCTGATTGAAGTACGCTTTACTGTAGGAATAAGCAGAAGGCTGTCAGAGCAGATTCTGTGCTGCAGTCTGAAGATGCCGCTTCCCTCCAGCATTTAATGATATTTTGAATAGTCAAATGTGCAGATTATATCAGACGTTTCCTTCATTTTGGAGATTAAACCACTTGTCAATAATCTCCAGTGTCTTCCTTCAGTCCAATTATTTTATGTCAAGTTTCTGTGACTCTTGAAGAGTCTCCATTCACCCGTCCACAAATGAAGGCCTTAAAAAGGTCTTAAATCAGAGCAGAAAGTCTTAAATTCATGAAGTCATTGCATTAAATGCTGCACGCACTGCCAAACATGAGTACGTTATTATCTCGTTCCCATCTGAACATCCTTAAGTCATCCTTAACTTTCTAGTCTGGGGAAATACAATTAACATAT